ACTTATCTGACTTCCTAGGTATCTAAAATCAGCCACTTCTTCTAATTTTTCGTCTCCTATCTTTATATTCGCTCTTTCCCTACTTTTTCTTCCCTTGCATATGAGTATTTTAGTTTTACTTTTATTTATTTTCATACAGTACTGATCTGTCAGTACCGCTTCCATTTTATTTAAAGCTATCTCTAGGTCCTCCTATAATAATAAATTTTAAATATTCTACGCGTAAATGTATAAAGTTCCACGTCATTTATTTATTATAAAAAAAATAACGTAGACGAGTGGCGCTGCGAGATGTACGTATTGATGATTTTTTTTTAATTAAGGGGGTACAATTTGTGACATCTTCATAAAGGGGAGGTTGTCCAAATGTGACTGTATAACCTCAGGGGAGGAGGAAATGTCGAAGAACAGTGGACGACCGTTTATTTTTTAATTGAAGATTGCCCTTTTTTTAACGTTTCGTCTTAATCTCCTTATTGTTCTCACTTTATATTAAAGTTAAAGTGATAAAAAACAAATGAAAACAAAAAAGATATTGATTACCTTCTCCATTCCCCTCCTTTTTGGTGACGACCAAGTCGATGGCCTGTTGATTGGTGACCTCCATTTTGAAAAATTCCTGCCTCATGTACTCGTACTTCTTCTCCATCGTCTCTCTTGCGATCTTCTCCTCTTCGAGTTGTTGTTTCGCCCTTCGAACTTCTTCCCTGCACTTCTCTTCCGTTTCTTTCGCAGACTTCTCGTTCTCGTCGACAATTTCTGCCAAAGTCTTCACCCTAAACATATACATAGTTATCACGTCAATTCCATGTTAAACACCAAAAACTGGATCGAGCTCACCTTGCGGATCCGTCGTTTGGTGTTTAATTGCGGAATCTATTGGTGAAAGTGTAATAATGGAAACAATAACAATAATAATAACAACAATCAGTTTTGTAAAACGTAAACATACACCGATAATTTATTTTCTAAAACCAGTTTTTAAATTCGGACAAATCGAAGTAGAATTGGAACAGGTCGGAAATTCTATATATATATTCATGGGTGTATAAAGTATTAGGTACTAAGTTCAAATTGAACGCTTGGTATAAAGAGATCGTGCAGAGCTCTGAGGGTTATATGCATTAACCACCTTGTTTCTAGAAATCCTCGGTCTTTGGTCAGTTTGTTCAGCAGTTGCTTGTCCTGGTTGTTAATTTTAATTAATTCTTGTTTCTCAGCTTCCCACGCTTTCTCTGCAGTCTTCATGTTATCCTCCTTTTGTCTGTAAAATTTATAACATTCATTGAAACTTCTCGTAATTAACCCTAGACAGTCGAAATATGGAGACACCTCTTCTACTACACGCGAATTAAGAACCGAACTTTTGGGCTGTAGCCCAGGGCTTCGTCCATACGATAGGCCCCCAGCAATATTGAAAACAATAGATGATATTTTGAAGAAACGAAAATATCTAAAATTAAAAAAAATACCAACCTTGCGATCAATCAACCTATCGAGCAGTTCGGGGAATTCCCCGCCGCTTGTTTTCGAACGGTGTATTTTCCCGCGGGTGTGTCTATTACGGGGAATTTCCCGCTATCTATCGCTCGACGCAATTTTATGCTTTTTTTAGATTTCAAGAAACGGCTCTTCTATATTCTGAATTATTTATTTCTCCTAAATTATTGATGATTTTGATGGTTTTTTTCACCTGCATGTTTGGCAAAGTTAAGGTTTACTTTGGCATTTTATTTCAAGGAGTTGTTGATATATTTAAAGATGAACCTTTTTTACTTAAATACCTATATTGTGAAATTTAAGTTTTAATTGTTACAATTTCGTATGGAAAGCTCAAAAACTGAGTATAATGTTTTGGCGGAGGTGCCGGACATCGTCATTTTTATACTATTATACATTATACAGATAAATTGATTTAAATATTTAATGAGATAGTCTGAGATAATGGGATTATTAAATCGGGTTCGTTTTTCTTAAAACTTGATTAGCTTTGAATGTGAGATTTCTAATATAGCAAATTCAGCACATCTATACACTGCTATTCAACTTTCAAAGTGTTTTAACGACGATATTAAGCATCAAAGTGACTGTAATATGCACTAAACGATTAAATTAGAATATTAACCAGTTTATAATCGAATGAAACAAAAGAGGAAAATTAAAGGATAAATAAAATGCAATTAAAGCTTTTACTGAAGAGATTTTTGGGCGGGTGTGTCTATTCCTATCTCCTTGCGAATTTTGTTTTTTTTACACACTTCTGTTTTCGTCATACTGATAAATTGACTGAGTTATTGTTAGAACTGTGTCAAAATATTTTATTGTCTGATACTGCATACCTAGATCATTATAGGCAGCAGTTTTTCTGACAAAATAACAATTAGGTAGGTTCCTAAGTAGTATTAGCCCACGGTCCCACAAATTCACGATTCGCCCCTAATACTCTCATTCATCTTTTCATATAAGTAATACACTAATTTAAATTTAATAAATGCATTTTTTAATAGCTTTTGAGTTCAAAAGATTCTGGTTAGTATTGGTAATATCGC